CCGCACATGCCGCCGGTCATGATTTGCACCCCCCCTTCTTGGACACCCCGCTTTTTGGCTGCTCCCGAACGTCCCCGGCGACAGGCCACATCCGAGGAAGGGGGTCGGGACCTTCGGGGCCGCGCTCGGAAGCAGTCACGCCGTCGGAGGCCGGGGAGCCCAGAGACCCCCCATCGCGTCGTGCCAGCAATCGGACACGGGAGTCCACTGTGCCACCCCTGGCCTCCATGGGGGCCCCCTGCCTCGGGGGGCGCCAGCGGACCACCTCGCCGAGCCTGGCCAGGCCCAGCCTTGGCCGAGTACCGGCGCCCGCGCCCTTCAGGCGCCTGGTTTGGCCAGGGAGGCGGCGGACGCTGATCCCGGGCACAGGATGGGCCTGGCCACGGCGAGGCGATCGGTTGACCCTCGACCTCCTCCTTCCGCACGGCGCGGCCGCGGCGACCGCCGAGACCGCCGCTGCGGCCTCGACGGCGGCGGCCGCGGCGTGGCATCTGCCGCCCAGAAGGCGCGGAAGGTGGAGGTCGAGGGGGCGGAGGAGGAGGAGGATGAGGAGGAGGAGGAGGAGGAGGAGGAGGAGGAGGAGGAGGAGGAGGAGGAGGAGGAGGAGGTGGAGGAGGACCCGAAGCGTCCCCCCCCCAGCGGTGGTGGTGTGCGGCCGCCGCCAGCCGAGTGGCTGCGTGCGCGGCGGCGACAGCTGCTCCTGGCCGCCGCGGGCGTGGCCGCGGCCGCCCTCGCCTGCGCCGCGTGGCGCGCGCGGCGGCCGTCCGCGGCGGCCTGCGGCTCCGTGGAGGACACCGCGGCGCTTTTCGCGGGCGCTATGCTGGCGGCCTTTGCGGCCCATGGCCCGCCAACGTCCCCGAGTTTCTCTGGGCTGATGGGCCTGTTTTCCACCACCACTACCATAAGACGGATGGGGGGAAGGAGGAGGAGGAGGAGGAGGAGGAGGAGGGAGGAGGAGGAGGAGGAGGAGGAGGAGGAGGAGGAGGAGGAGGAGGAGGGAGGGAGGAGGAGGAGGAGGAGGAGGAGGAGGAGGAGGAGGAGGAGGAGGAGGAGGAGGAGGAGGAGGAGGAGGAGGAGGAGGAGGAGGAGGAGGAGGAGGAGGTGGAGGAGGAGGAGGAGGAGGAGGAGGAGGAGGAGGAGGAGAGGAGGAGGAGGAGGAGGAGGAGGAGGACCCCTTCCACCTCCAACTTATGGTGGTGGTGGTGGTGGTGGTGGTGGTGGTGGAAATCAGGCCCATCATGGGCCTCCTGGATGGGGTCGGAGTAACGATGGGGTCGGGGGGTCGTGCCGCATCGCCGATGCATCGGCGTTGCGGCTCGATGCGGGGCCTGATTTTCTCCACGCCGACGTCGCGGATGTATCGCCGACGTCGCCAGTGCATGGCCGATGCATCGCCGATGATCGCCGATATATTGGCGATGCGGCGAGATCCTCCGACCCCATCTACTCGGACCCCATCTAGGAGGCCTCCAGTTTCCTGGGCAGCCCGAACCCATAGATCCGATGCTCCGAAACAAGTGGAGCGGCCAGTTTGGGCAGGTTCCGGCCTCTGGGAGCCCTCGCGGGCCTCGGGATTGTCAGAGAACGACTCGGGATAAAAAACCAGTCTTGGGGAAATGGTCCAGACCTCTGGGGCCCGCGCAACAATTTTTTGGAGAGGCCAGATGACTGGGAAGGTACCTCCCCATACCCCCTGGAGCCATGACAAAAATCACGGAGGGAGGCTTCCAACGTTAGGTTTCTGATGATTTTCGGCCCCTGGGAGCCCTCACTGGGCCTCGAACGCGTCAAACAACGACTTGGGGTCAAAAACCAGTCTCGAGGAATGCGTCCAAACCTTTGGGGGTCGACGTTCTGAAAATATCATGACGTCGGCGGTCTGGGTTCAACGACTTTTCCTGGGCTGCCCGAAGGTACCACTGAGCACTGAGCACCTTTCCTGGTCTCACCGAAGGTACGTGCCCTTCCTGAGCCGCCCGAAGGTCCTTCTGAGAGCCCTCTCCCAGGCGGCCCGAAGGTACATCTGAGATCCGGGCGTTGGCATTATGTTCTCACCAGGTGTTCTCCCGTGTTCGGGCCCTGGGGCCATCACAGATCGGTCCGCCTGGGGCTCTAGGGCTATGGGGCTCTGGTCGTGATTTTCCGCGATGTCGGACTTTTTTTTTGCCGCGGCGGATTTCAGGGGTGCCCGGGCCCGGTGGGCCAGTGGCCCTTTTCGGCTACGCGTAAGAGTGACCCTTCGTTGGGGTGACCTTTGATTCTGGCCCAGAGGGATCACCCAAGCACTGGTTTGAACCGGCTTGCGCGCGTGGATTTGGCACCCAGGACCCGTGCTGAGCGGTGTTTGGGCGATTTCGTGGACCGTTTTCGTTTTGTTTTTGTATCGCAGCAAAGGCAGGACGAGGACAGAGAACGAAGGACAGCGCAAACAGAGCGAAGACGAAAAACGCTGCTAAGCTCGAGCCCTGTTCACACCCGGTGCCCCCGAAAGTTGCGCACCAAAGGTCACTCTTGCCTACAGTGGAGACCCGTGCCAAGTGACACCCTGCTTGCCTCCAGGGTGTCCTGAGCTTCTAGGGTTTCGATATGTTCGCCAGGGAGAGCGTGGCGCTCCCACACCAACAATCCATGGACGTCCTGAGGGTCTCAGGGTAGGGTTTCTTGTGGAAGGTTTCTTGTGGACTGGCCCCCACTGTAGGGGCACTTCCCTCCGCACCTGGCAGCCTGCGTTCCCTGATCTCTGTGGCAGAGTCTTCAGACGCCCACGGCACCGACCGGATAAGACTATTGATCGTTGTTTGATCTCTGAATCCAGAACCCCGCTAAAAAATTGAAGATTGAAATTCTCAGCGGTCTTCTGATTGCGATTCTTCGACAGCACCTTCCGCACCTGCCGGACGGCAGACGCGGCCAGTGCGGCCGCCGCCAGCGCGGCCGCAGCGGCGACCGCCGTCGAGGCCGCAGCGGCGGCCTCGGCGGTCGCCGTGGCCGCGCCGCGGCGTCACCTGCTGCACGAGGGGGTCGGCAGGCGGAGGTCGAGGGATCACTATTCCTTGAGATCCTCCTCCTTCTCCTCCTCCTCCTCCTCCTCCTCCTCCTCCTCGTCCTCCTCCCTCTTCTCCTCCTTCTCCTCCTGGCCCCTGCAGGGGTCGGCTACACTTAGCCCTGAGGTCCTGGCGTCTCAGCTTTTTCGAGCCGGGCGTTTTCGCCCCTTTCCGGGCCCCGGGACCCTCACAGATTGATCCGGCTCGGAAAAGGACGCAGAAAGATGGTCGGAAATCGGAGCATATACATTACCAGTGGCGGACGGTTTTTCAATCCCAGGTCTTTTTTGAGGGTCGGGGACGACGTCGGGTTGGTGTGGTGTATACTTTTTTCCCGTGTTCCCAGGGAAACAACGAAGAATGTATACACCAGGATCCCGCATACACCAGGATCCGCTTTCCAGTGCGAGATTCAGTGTGAGGCCCGACAAAGGCGTCGGAGTATATAGAGTTCGGCTCCTTGGATGGGGTCTCAGGCTCCAGGCGTGACTCTTCACGCTGCTGCAATTTTTTATCGCTGCGTCGGATCCTCAGGGGGAGGAGGAGGAGGAGGAGGAGGAGGAGGAGGAGGAGGAGGAGGAGGAGGAGGAGGAGGAGGAGGAGGAGGAGGAGGAGGAGGAGGAGGAGGAGAGGAGGAGAGGAGAGGAGAGGAGGAGAGGAGGAGGAGGCGGCGGAGGAGGAGAGGGGAGCTCCTTGTGGGCTTCTCGGGCACTCTCGGGCGCCTCTGGGAGGGGGGGGGGGCGGCGCGGTGGCCAGGAGGAGTCCCGGGTGCCTCGAGCGCTCGGTGCTCCCAGCGGTGTGAGCCCTGATGCATTCCACTGCGTGCCCAAGGCGCGAGCTGAGGTGTGTGTGTGTGTGTGTGTGTGTGTGTGTGTGTTGGCGAGTTCGTGGGCCGTTGTTTTGGACGCCCGAAATGGGTACGGAAAGAATTGGTACAATGCCCAACAGCAGTTCCTGTTCATTCTGAACAGGACTCGCTGTCGGTGTCGCCGCGGCCTGTGTCCATTTTAGACAGAAGGCCGCCTGCCCAACAGCGCCCGCTGTTGGTCTCATTTCGGGCGTCCAAAGTTGCCGTTCGGACCTCGTTGTGCATCAGAGGCGGAACGACGACAGGACGAGGGAGCACGACGGCGAAACGAGACTGGAACAGCTCTGTGTAGCTCGCGCCATGCTGTCTGTCATCAAGAACAACCGAACCCCTGACCCGAATGACACGATGAGGACGTGGCCTCACTGAGGTCCCCGTCCTTGCATTAGGGATAATAGGCCTGGGCGGTTTGGTCTGGTCACCCGCAAAACCAAAAACAACTATTCTTCCTAATGATTTGTGTGGCACTCCTGACTTAGGCCCCTTCCCAAAGAGTTATGGGTCCTTCTCTTGCTTATCATGCGGCGTGCCCATGGGCACGGCGGCGGATTTTCTTCGGCCACATGAACCCGGACCTGGACAGCGTCGGCTCCGCCTACGGCAGCGCCGAGCTCTACGGGGGCACGGCGGCATGCCCCGCCCCCCGGGGCAAGTGCCCCACCGACGAGGCTTCGGCATCATACCATGTGAGACTTGTGTGTCCTCGCAGTGTGCACTGCAGTCAACCCGCATAGTAAGGATAGGCAACCTTCCCAAGGGTACCCTTGTATCCTTGCCTCTTCGGTCCATCCTTGGTCATTCTCGTTGGCCGCGCCCCGCTCGAAAATCTTCGAAATGGCCTTCCAAGGCACTTGCATCCTTACCGCGCATCCTTATGATGCGGGTTGACTGTAGCAACTCATGGGAGACTTGAGTGCCCTCGCAATGTGCACCTGCATGCTTTAGCGTCTTTCGAGAAAACAAAAAAAACACCACAAACATACACTTTTGGCGCTCCGCGCGAAATTCTTGGATCTGCGCTGGGCTCCCTCAGCGGCGCCTCCGGCGCCGCCACTGGCGCGCTCCGCGCGCCAGGGAACGGGGTTCGGCGTGGATCCAAGACACCCGCGCGGAGCGCCAAAAGTTTAATGTTTACGTAGTTTTTTTCGATTTCTAGTCTTGTGATCCATGGGCACGCGCAGATTTAGCGCCGATCAGCGCCGATCTGTCGTCTACTAGCGTCTAGCGTCGGCCAGCGCGGATTTTCAAGAGGAAGCAAGATGGCACGGGAGGATTCCATGAGTTGCAACCGACGAGGCCCGGTTCGTCATGCGGCGTTTTGGCGTCGCCGACGCCGAGGTCCCCGTGCTCAGCGACGTGGTGGCCGAGGACAGCAGGTTCGTGTTGGTGGACTTCAACGGCATGGCCAAGGCTGGGCGGCGAGGTCTGTACACCACCCACCGCCCCCGGCCGGGCCCATCCTGAGCCCAGGATCGGTGTGTAGCCACGTGCCTCCCCGGCTCAGCCAGTGGGGCGCATGCACCGCCCGTGGCTCGGGGCGAACCTCACCGGGGGGCCGGTGGATCCGTACGGACCCCTCGTCGCCCTGCAAGGGGCCGCAGAACTCCTTCCCGGAGGGCTCCGTGCCCTCGCTGCTCGGGGAGGGCGGCATGTGGCAGACGCCGCCGGTCATGGGCTCGATCGACCACCATGCGCTGCAGCTGACGGGGGTCAAGGTCACGGACGTGCCCGTCGACTTCTGCGGCGAGGTCGGGCCGAATGGGTTCCGGGTGGAGACTCACCCCTGGGGAAGCGCCTGCAGCATCGTGGCCACGAAGTTCCAGGGGTCAGGCCGCCCCCCGAGCGAGAGAGCCGCAGGCATGCTCCTGGGCGGCATCCTCTCTGACACGCTCGGCCTCACCGGCCCCACCACCACCGAGCACGACAGGCAGGCAGTGGAGTTCTTGAAGCCGTTCGCCAACATCGAAGACCATTCTGCCTTCTATGGGGAGATGGCGGAGGCGAAGTCGGAGAAGTTCTTGAGCATGCCTCTGGTGGAGGTGTTCGGCAGCGACCTCAAAGTGTTCGACCCTCTGCCGCAGGCCAAGCTTGCCATCGGCGTTGTGGAGGTGGCCAATCGCAAGATCTACGAGGGCCTGCTCGGCAAGCCGGCCTCGGAGCTGGCGGCCGGGATCGAGGGCGTCTCCGAGCAGTACTGCTCGGAGGCAGGACCAGAGAAGGCCTGCGTGGTCTTCGTCGTGCTCGTGGACACGAAGGACCAGGTGAGCTCGACCCTGCTGCTGAGGGCACCCGCATCGGCGCAGCCGTCCGCGAGGTGCATCGCGGTCAGGGCGTTCTCGCTGGACCGGGCGACCAACCGGCTGCCCGCGGACAAGGAGTGCCGGCCGAAGCACGCGGCAGAGAGGCAGCTGCCCTCCGGGGACCCCGCGGGCCGGGGCCTCTTGCACGTGATCTCGACGGGCCGCTGCATTCGAGGATCACAACAGCGGCATAAACATAGACTTCGGAGCTCCGTGCGGACTTCTTGCATCGGCGCTGAGGCCTCCCCCCTGGCAGCGCCTCCGGCGCCCGGCCCTTGCGAGCTCCGCGACGCCAGGGAGGGGGTTCCAGCGCCGATGCAAGAAATCCGCGCGGAGCTTCGAAAGTTTCTACTTATGCAATGTTTTGGTCCTCTACTGGGATCGGCGCGGGGGGTGCTAACGGGATAGGGGATGATCAGTGGATGTTCGAGAAGCCCGATGAGTGGGCGGAGCCCACCCAGCCCGTATCGCCAATCGCCCTGAACCGTTTGGGGAGCTCGTAGCAACCTTCTTCGGTAGGTTAGGCCAGCTACAGTGGGCCCGGATTAGTAGGTCGACCCTGCCAGCTCAAGGGTACCCTTGTGTCCTGTGCCTCGCGACACGTGCTTTCTTACACTCCAATGGCGATGTGGCCTTCGGAAGGGTCCTGTGTCCTCTCGCGTGTCCTCTCCAATGAAGTTCGACTGTAGGCCAGCTATCGCCCACCAGAGCACACACCGAGAGCTCCCCTATCCCCTTGCCCCCCCCCGCAGCGACCCCGGTGTGCATCTCGCGCAAGTCTCAGCTGCAGCCCTCCCTGGAGGCCGCGCTGAGAGACCTGTACGGCCCGGAGCGAGGGGCGCCGGGGTACGCCTGCGAGGACCAGGAGGAGGAAAAAAGCAGGCACGCGATTCATTTAAGACGGGCTTGTCCCTCTACAGGGGGGATCGTCCCAAATAGTAACAAATAGTAGGGGGACGAATTTGTAAAAATTATTGTTTGACCATTTGGGGGTATTTTTTGAGTATGTTTTATTTTTCGTCGAAAATCCTCTTGTAGGGGGACACGCCCGACTCAAAAATAATTGCTCACTCTTGCTGCCGCGCCGTGGTGTTTCCACTTCCGGGTGCTTCTCTCTGTTCTCGCTGCCGCGCCTTGATTTGCTGCCACCCTCGGGCGCCTTTCCCACGGCGCCCTGTTTTATTTTCACTTTTGGGTGCGTCTCGCCCCCTTTGCTGCCGCGCCCTCGTTGGTTTCCACTTGTCGGTGGTTTTCCTGCGGCGCCTTTTCTTGTTTGCACTTCTGGGTCGTTGTGGGTGCTCGCTTGGCCTTGCCCTTTAGTTTTCACTTGTTGGTGCTTGTTGCTTGTCGCCGCTCTTGCTGCCGCGCCCTTTGATTTCCACTTGGCGGGCAGTTGTCCAACAGCGCCCTTTGGTTTCCAATTTCGGGTGTTTGTCGTCACGCCCGTTGCGTCGCTCTTTTGATGCCACTTCTGGGTGCTCCTGCTCTTTCCGGGCTCTTCAACATGTTCGCTTGCACTGAGCGTTCCCGAGTACAGTTGTCACATGTTTAGAAATGGTTGGGTACGTCCCCAGGCAATTTGTTCGTCTAGCTTCTCCTGGCTCCCCCGATCTGGTGCCGCCTGTTTGGTGGTGGTGGGGCGTTTCGGTCCTGCCGCGTCGCTTTCACAAGGAAGCCCGTTCGCATCGAGGGCTTTCCCCCGATCGTGTACCGCTGGGTTGGGCTCGCCTGCGCGCCGGAGGGAAAGAGAATGTGTGTCTCTGTGTGTGTGTGTCCGTCCCTCTCCGATGCTCACAGCCTGTGGGCTTGCTGCGTGCGCTCTCTTTGGGGAGTGTGCGTGTGTTTGTGTGTGTGTGTGTTTGTGTGTGCATGTGTGTGTGTGCGTGTGTGTGTATGTGTGCGTGTGTGTGTGTGTGTGCGCGCGCGTGTGTGTGTGCGCGCGCGTGTGTGTGTGTGTGTGTGTGTGTGTGTGTGTGTGTGTGTGTGGGAGTCTTCACCTCCCGGTGGCCTTTCCTTTCCCGCCCGCCCTCGGCGGCCGCCTTCCCTGCCCTCTCTCCTGCTCTTTGCATGCCAGCCACTTCGGAGGTCGGTGCCCCCGTGCAGCTCTGTCGCTGGTGCAGCCCACTCTGCCTCGCCGCCGGCGAAGAAGTGTTTTTTTTTGTTTGTGCGTGTTTGTCTGTTCGCTCTGAGGCTCCGCCGCTTCCTCCCCCCTCTTCTCTGCCCAATTCAAGCTTCGCGCGGCCCGCTCAGCTTCGACCGGACGAGGTGCGCTCTCGACCCGCGGATCAAAGAGTGTGCTTGTCTGTGAGGGGGTGTCGGGGTGCTCCCGCCCAGCTCTTGTGGTTGGTATCGAGGGGCCGTCGGGCCGTCGGGGCTCTCTCTCTCTCTCTCTCTCTGGGCATCGCCTGGGCCGAGGGGTGCATGTGGGGCCATCGGGCGCTAGCCTGCTGACGACGCAGGGCCAGCCAGGTGCCCCTCGGGCCACCTTGGAGGATCTCGGCGTGTCTTGTGTGCAGTGTGGCCCGCCCAGGTCGCTTCCCAAGGGCTGGGCGGCGCTGCAGCATGAGAGCACTCCGTGCCCCTCCCCAGCCGTGTGTGGTCTTCAGGTACCGGTTGGGGCAGAGCGCAGTGGGGCCCCAAGGATCGAGAGTAACATGCCCTGCATCTTCACGTGTCTGGCGGGCATGCAGCATGCACCAGTGCTGCACGAGCTATGGCTCGGCGTGTTGCGATGAACCCTGAGCATCCCCAGACAGGTGTCAAGACATCTCGTCTGCCCTGAGCACCCGCTATCATTCGCAACCTGAGGTAGCGGCGAACGTGTACGTGTTGGCGGATGCGCCCGAGCGTGTCTTCCTTAGTTTTGTTGTGCTACACTGTCCAGAGTGCCCCTAAGCAAGTCATTGCTCATAGCATGCAGTATTATTGACCGATGTCGGTGCTTGAGAGGTTTATGATCTGCTGGTCAGGTGCTGATGACGTTCGCGCAGATGCGCAACGAGGAGGTCGTGAAGCACGCCCGCCAGTTCCTGCCCAGAGATGCACACCCCCGTCCCCCACACGTCCTCAGACATCCGCTGATGCTTTTTGTGCACGGCCCTGGAGGTCCGGGCCCCTTCCCCGCGGCCAGTCTTTCGCCCCAGATCTATTTTTGATGGTCCCCAGGCCACACGACGAGCGTGGAGGCCGAGAACAAGGAATGACGCTTGGATTCGTAGAAACAGATCGTCGGAGATCTGGGTCTGGGGGCATCCACGCGACATTGATGATCACCCTGTGGACACCCCAGGAGGCGAGCGAATCATGATGAAGTGGACCGTGAACGAACCCTCACGTGGGATCAGGGCTGCCCAAGGCCGGCTTGACGCGAGTGGGGCTCTGCGCGAGTGGCAGCAATGGCATCGGCAGCGGCACCTTTCAGGGAGTGCGCGAACACAGGGAGGCCTGATGTGGTGGTGATGATGATGAGGATGATGATGCTGATGATGCTGCTGTTGTTGATGATGCTGCTGCTGCTGCTGCTGATGATGATGATGATGATCATGATGATGCTGCTGCTGATGATGATGCTGATGATGATGATGATGATGATGATGTTCATACTGATGATGATGATGCTGATGCTGATGCTGATGCTGATGATGATGCTGCTGATGATGATTATGTTTCCCGCGGCAACTCGGTGATGATGATGCTGATGATGATGAGGATGATGGCAACGACGACGATGCTGATGATACTGATGTTAATGATGATGCTGATGGTGCTGATGATGATGCTGAATCTGATGCTGATGATGACGATGCAGACGATGATGCTGATGCTTAGGATGATGATGATGATGATGATGATGATGATGATGATGTTGGTGATGCTGATGCTGATGCTGATGATGATGATTATGATGATGATGCTGCTGATGATGATGATGATGCTGATGATGCTGATGATGATGCTGCTGCTGATGATGATGCTGCTGATGATGATGATGATGATTATGATGATGATGATGTGAGGGTAACGGAGAGGATGATGATGCTGATGCTGATGATGATGATGATGATGCTGATGATGCTGATGATGATGCTGATAATGATGCTGATGATGCTGATTCCGATGATGCTTATGATGATGATGCTGCTGATGATGATTATGTTTCCCGCGGCAACTCGGTGATGATGATGCTGATGATGATGAGGATGATGACAACGACGACGATGCTGATGATACTGATGTTAATGATGATGCTGATGATGCTGATGATGATGCTGAATACGGTGCTGATGATGACGATGCAGACGATGATGCTGATGCTTAGGATGATGATGATGTTGGTGATGCTGATGCTGATGCTGATGCTGATGCTGATGATGATGATGATTCTGATGATGATGATGCTGCTGATGATGCTGCTGCTGATGATAATGATGCTGCTGATGATGATGCTGCTGATGATGATTATGATGATGATGATGATGATGATGATGATGATGATGATGATGATGATGATGATGATGATGATGTGAGGGTAACGGAGAGAATGATGATGATGCTGCTGATGATGATGATGCTGATGATGCTGATGATGATGATGCTGATAATGATGCTGATGATGCTGATTATGATGATGCTGATGATGATGCTGATGATGATGAAGATGATGATGATGATGATGATGATGATGATGATGATGATGATGATGATGATGATGATGATGATGATGATGATGATGATGACGATGATGATGATGATGATGATGATGATGATGATGATGATGATGATGATGATGATGATGATGGATGATGATGATGAGGAGGGAGGGAGGAGGAGGAGGAGGAGGAGGAGGAGGGAGGAGGAGGAGGAACAGGGAGGACTGAGGACGATGAGGGAGGAGGGAGGAGGAAGGAGGGAGGAGGAGGAGGAGGAGGAGGAGGAGGAGGAGGAGTAGGAGGAGATGGAGAATGCGGAGAGGAGGCCGGCCACGCGAGATGATAGGGAGAGAATTGTGAGAAGGAGGAAAAGGAGGAGAGAGGAGGAAGGAGGAGGAGGAGGAGGAGGAGGAGGAGGAGGAGGAGGAGTGGAAAGAGGATGAGGAGGAGAAGGGGGGACAGAGGAGGACAGGGGGGTTGGAGGGAGGACGGGGGCGGAGGAGGAGGAGGAGGATGAGGAGGAGGATGAGGAGGAAGGAGGAGGAGGAAGGAGGAGGAGGAGGAGGAGGAGGAGGAGGAGGAGTGAGATAGGTCTCTGAGAGCATTTCGTGGCAGGACTATAGGAATGCCGGACGGTCGGTCCCTGCTCAATAATCTGAGAAGAAGGACGCTGCGGTCAGACTCGTACATTTGGAGCGGAAGTGGGGGCGCGCCATTCGTTTCCAACACGCTCCTCAGGATGTTTTTCTCACAGGTCGCCGTTTTCCCCCCGCGTGTGGGCGCAAGACGCAGGAACTTGGTGACGGATGCGCTGTGCTCCCACGGATGAGGGGGATGCCAGGAGATGGCCCGAACGCGAGAGGCTGCACCTGGATCCTCCTCCCTCTCCACCTCATCCCAAAGAGGAGGTCCTGCTCTGGGCCATCGCTCTACCCCCAACGAGGTCGCAGGATGTCGCGGGTCTTTTCAGCAGGCATCGTCGCGCTGGCACTCAGGAACCAACGCTCTGGACCGCAATCGCCCATCTCCGCTGCTTTTCCCCACCTCCTTTCCGGGGTGGACAGGGCCGGGATAAGTCGTTGCAGAGCGTTCCATGATGCTCTCGGAGTGCTCTGGAACGCTCTGGAACGGCCGCGGTGTCCGATCACCTCGTCCAGAACCGCCTGACCTCAGCGATCTCCGAGGTATCTGGGTCCGATGTTGTCCCGATCCTGGCTTCGTCTTAC